ATATATATATATATATATATGGACAAAGGGAGGGGGAAGTGTAAGCTGGGACGAAGTAAGAGAGTGGCATGGACATATATATACTACCAAACATAAAATAGATAGCTAGTGGGAAGCAGCCGCATAGCACAGGGTGATCAGCTCGGTGCTTTGTGACCACCTAGAGGGGTGGGATAGGGAGGGTGGGAGGGAGACGCAAGAGGGAGGGGATATGGGGACATATGTATACGTATAGCTGATTCACTTCGTTATACGGCAGAAACTAACACACCATTGCAAAGCAATTATACTCCAATAAAGGACAACCTCCCTGTCAAGGACGGGGACTGAGAGCAAAGTCGGGTGACCTGCTCAAGGTCCGCACTGTCAAGAGAGAACCAGGGTCGTCCCTCACCTCTGTGGGTCCCCAAAGGCCCCCCTGAGAAGTCTAAAGCAGCCCCGTTACGTTGTCAGACAGTAAACTGAGGTCGCGTCAGAGGAGCTTTCTGTTTCAGCTCAAGCAAAGCTGTGTGAGGTGATGGTAGGCGTGGCTTTTAAGAAGGGTGGAATCTGGATCTGTTGCTGGGGCCGAAATTGGAAACACATTAGCGGTTATGGTTTTCGTGGAAGGATAGGGGAGTCGTTCCACATAGGAACTTAGGGGCAGGGTCAGCCCCTCAGATCTGTGTTCACCACTTTTGAACTCGTGCTGCTTGACTGTGTGGTTGAAACTCATCCGTGAGTCTGCAGGGCTCTGGACTCTACATAGCTCCAAGTGAGGACAGGCTGGCCAGCCCTCAAGAGCTGTGCTGGGCGTCATTTCATTGCAGATAGGAGCAGCGCCACTTGCCAAATTTGTGGCCGACGTGGCTGACATCTACTGAACACTCAGTGTGTGTCACTCACTGCACTAAGCTCTTCATATGCAGAATCTCCCTTAATCCTGAGAGTAACCCTGGGACGCAGATCCTGCCATCTCCCCTGTTTGATGGATAGAGAAAGAGGTGTCCTGAGTCAAGTCACCAGCCCAAGGCTACACAGCTGGGAGGTGGCAGGGTGGGGAGTCCATCCTCATCTCCTCTCACCTGTGAGCCTTGTTGCTGTTCTCTGTGCTAAGCAGGCTTTCTCCATCATAATCGCTCATAAAACCCATGAAGTAAGTGGGCCCTGCAATCAGTTTGAGAAGATAAGCAGAACAGCGACAAAACCCTGATTTGTTGAGGGCTGCAGGTGTCCACTTTGCTCTGTGATACAGGCCTTTCTTTTAAAGTGTTTACTTTTCAGAGCTATGGGTAGAGGTCTGGGTGGATCTTGTTGCATTTCAGATTCAACAGCTATAAAATAAAAATTCCAGTTCTGAATAAGCAGTGATACTTTGGACCAGGGCTACCCCCAGTGTGGTCTGTGGACAGCACGCGCTTACTGGTCTGTGATAAGTGTGGAAATTCAGAGGAAGCATTTAGAAACTTCTGTAGCAAGTTGACAGAGTAAGTTTATGCCTATTGAATCTAAAAATAAAAAAGTAGGTCTTATAGTTTGAATGTAATTAGAAATAAAAGCAAAAAAGTGATTCCTTCACCACAGATAATTTGAGAAGTACTGCTTTAGAAAATGTCGAAGCCCAAATTGCTTTTCTTCTACATATCTTTCGCCAGAATTTCTTTGTTTAATTAATTAATTTATTTGGCCGTGCTGGGTCTTAGTTGGGGCATGTGGGTTCTAGTTCCCTGACCAGGGATCGAACCCAGGCCCCCTGCATCGGGAGCGTGGAGTCTTAACCACTGGACCACCAGCGAAGTCCCTCCCTCTTTATTTCTTTAAATATCAGCGTTTTGGTGGACTGCCTTTGCTTCAGAATTTCAGTACTCTGCTTTTGGAAAAACACTTTTTTGTTCCGCTTTGGAAAAAAGTAGTAATAGTGAAATAGTAACAGTAATACTAAAAATATTAATAGTAATCTTAACCAAAAAAAGAGATTGGCATAACTGATCATCAAGTTGGTTATTTATCATGCTTTGAACTTTTCAAATGAGGGAATCTCCTTTGTGTGATTCCCATGTTAATATTAAGTGTTGAAGTCAGGTGTCATTAGATTTCCCATTTGTTGACTATTCACTTTGAATAAAGATTTACTTTTAAAAAAACTGTCATGATCTTGTTTTTTCAGTTTTATTGAGATATAACTGACATATATTACTGTATAAGTTTAAGGCATACAGCGTAATGATCTGATTTACATGTATTGTGAAATGATTACCACAATAGGTTTACCCAACATCCATGATCTCATACAGAAACAGATATCAAAAAAAAAAAAAAGAAAAGAAAAAAAATTTTTTTCCCTTGTGATGAGAACTCTTCGGATCTACGCTCT